AGCAGCTGAGCACTTAACCATTGCACCACTAGGGCTGCTTAACTGCAACATGGGGTTGGGGAAATAAATAATGGTCTAGCCATATAATGGAACAATGCAATACTGCTGTATCAGGCCAGATTATGTTACAGTTAAAGCAACACATACCAGCTCAGTGGACTATTACCATCTATTTTTTGTTCATGCAAAACCCACTCACGTCCAGGGCTCTGGGCTCCATGGCGTGGCTCAGTGTCATGCTCCTCTTTCAACAAGAGCTTCCATGACTGTTATAGAACAAACTGCCTTGGTAGAGCCTCTTACCAGCACTGGAATGTTCTGCCCACATTTCATTGGCTAAAGTAAGTCACATGACCTTACCTAACGGCAAAGGGTTAGACAAGTGCAATCTTAGCTCGAGTAAAATGAGGAAAAATGCTGGGGGCATAGCACTTGTGTGTACTGCAACTACACAGCAAGTGACAATAATAGTAAGCGGGCACTCTTCTTGACATGGGCAAACTGCACATAGTGCACCAAGTGGGGGGAGAGGTACAATACCATTAAAAACACATCTATAAGCATTTGTTATATGCATATAAAGATATACCGCACAGGTTTAACAGTGTTTCTCTGGATGACTGAATTAGAGAGTTTTTAAAAAATCTTTTTTAATATACTTTTTTGTATCTTTATTTTTCTTTTCTATTATAATAAACATGTACTCTTTTCGATCAGGTAAAGTTTTATCTGTTTTGAGAAAAACACAATAAACTGTGATTCTAGTTCCTAAGTCAACCTCTTATCAGTTTAGCTGGGGAATTAGTTCTCTTGGATTGGAACCAACTTGTGCTAATACCTGTCTCAGTGTCACAAAGTTGTTGTTGTTGTTGTTATGGGCCGTCGAGTCAGACCTGACTCATAGCGACCCCTCCTCGGGGGAAGTAGATTGCCCTATCTTCCTTCTGAGGAGTGGCTGGTGGGTTTGAACTGCCAGCCTTCTGGTTAGCTGTCAAGTGCCTTAGGCACTACGCTACCAGTCACAAAGTTATACCCCCCCAAAAGTTATGCTGAAGTCCCAACCCCTATATCTGTGAAAGACCCAGTTTGAGGATAGGTCTTTGTTATGTTAATGAGGCCATGCCTGAATTGGGAGCGGTCCGAGCCTAATTACTTATGAGTGGAATCTTATAAAAAGAGCAGAACAGACTCAGACACACGTACACACACATACATGGAACACAGACATCATGTGAAGCTCCATCTACAAGTGAAGGAATGCCACAGATTGCTGGCAGGTACCAGACACTAGGAAGAGGGTAACAGAAGGAGTCGACATGGCTGAGACCCTGATTTGGACTTCCAGCTGCAGACCGGGAGAAAATAAACATCTGTTCTTTAAAGCTACCCATCTGTGGTATATGTTGTGAAGGCAGCACAGGAAGTAAGACACTCCCTCACATAAAACACACATTGCACGCTGGCACAGGGGATATGGAGACAGCATGTGCTTTCAAGTCACTTTGACTCTGGAAGCTTTCACTTGGAACCTTGTTTTCTCATTTGGAAAACAGAAAAAGTAATGCCTTGCTGAATTGTTACCAGGACTGAGGGAGATGAATATAGATAAAGCTGCAGCACACAGAGAGCTGAAACAAACGGTGGCTGCTATTATTGCCCTGTGTCCACGTTAGCTGCTATTATTGCCCTGTGTCCAGATCAAACATAACAAAAGCAAAATTAAGCCACACAGTAACAAGCAAAGAATGTTTTATTGTATGCATATTCTCAAAAAAAAAAAAAAAAAAGGAAACAAACAAACAAACAAAAACCCCACAAACAGGACCAAAGAACAAAGCTTTCTAGCCTCTCTGGGAGACACAGGGCGTGTATTTTATAGAAACATAGCTAGTAAGAGAACAAAATGTACCAATAACATTACCCTCTGCTTCCCCAGTCAAAAATGGCTATAGAGAAAAACACTTTAAGTTGTATTCTATATAAATTTGTTGCACAATTAAACTTCAACTTACTCAAAGGGTTATTGTATAGTAAACTGCAGAAAACAGAATAGGCATTCAACAATCTGCTCACATTTAACAATTAAGCAATAGACACTTGAATAGACATAGTATGTATTACTTATTTGTTAAACTTCATATTTATAATGAGCAGGTGGTTTATCATTAACAGTAACTGGTTTCTTACATTTTAGGAGACAGCAGATCCAGTCATGGAAATAGAAATTAATGAAAAATGATTTTAGAAAATATTGCCTTGGGTCTGAGCCACTATAGTATTTATTCACACTTGGGTCAGTTTCAACAGTTTAAAAGTACACATACTAACAAGCTAAAGTCTTTCAGAGAAGAACAAGAACACAGTGAAGATTCTAGAGCAACAGCATTTGTTCACATCCTCTAGGTAGCAGGACTGAACTAGGACATCATAAACTGGGAGTTACCATGTAATGAATCATTTGTTTCTACCTAATGCTATGGGGCTACTTCTATCACTTGCACTAGTAAAGGGAAATTTTTAAGTACGTTTATAATGAACAGTTGGCATTTCCTCAGCACATACATACTAGATCTAAATCTTCTCCCACATTCTGTATTTCAGAATCCCTGTTAGTATAAAAAAACTTTGAGTATTCAGTAAGGGAAAGACCAATAACTGTTACTTTAGGTCTATTTTAAGTGGCCCATTGAAGAGGAATGCTGTTTAAATAAGGCAATACCTATAAGCATACTCCTACCTTCCTCATCTTCCCATTCAGAGAAATTGAGAAAATAATTTTTGCCTACCTCTATAAAATTTATTACCCCATTTTCTACCTAGTGTGGGACAGGGACAAGACAAGTCAGCCACGTGTGTTTTAAAAGAAAAATGATAGTAGACTCTGAGTGGAGAGAAAATTGTATTGAAATCTTCTTTCCTTTTCCAAGAGTCCCTGTTCTGATTCTTCCTTAAATATAAATTTCCTCCTTGACTTGTATCAACGTAATGCCTTAGGAGGTGCTAAAACAACCTCATGTTCTCTGTGGAACACTGGGTATTTTTCATTAAGAATTTTTAAAAAATTAAGATGGAACGCTTTGGAGCATTCTCCATAGCTGTAATATTCGGCCCATTCACCATGGAAATTAAAACCCAAACCAAATCAAAACAACAAAGCCCACATTCTACAGATGTTAAGGGGAAACTGAACTACAGTTGAGCACTTCAGCAGGGCATGTGATCAATCACATCCTATTTTCCTTTCAGGACTTGTGATAAAAGTCCACAATAGCACCTATCTATGGGCTGAACAGTGAACTGAACCAAAATTAATATGTGAAGTTTAATATTCAACATCACAGTTTAAAAGTTACCATCATCAGTCAATTTTCTCCCCCAAACCATGTTGAACTATAATGTAGCACAAAAACTGTAAGGAGTAACAAAACCGTTCATCTTTTTCTGAAGACAAGTCAACTTCTACTGCAGATCGCACTAGATCATGTGTGCCTGTCCTCCTTCATTGCTTTGCCATTTGTGCCACATGGACATTAACACATCTTCCTTTAATTGCCTTTCTTAAGTGTTGCAGTCCCTCTAAGCTGCTGTCAGAAAACAGATTCTGTGCCTTAGTTTTATCATGTAAGAGCAACCATGTTGTCCTGATATGATCCTGACCCAGTGAAGCAGGGGAGTTCTTGCCAACATACATTAGGAAAAGTAACAAAAATATTGTTGCTATCTATTTTCAAATTCCTCCTCAAAAAACAATAAGCCTTTCTGGACTCATAGCCCTGAAGTCACACATACATGTACTACTGATAGAACACAAGCAAGTGGACATTCGAACACTAATGGCACGCTCCCAATGCCCTACCTTTAGGTACTAAGGTACTAAGTGGCCAAAGGCTTTAAAAATGCCATTTTGAACAACAAATGTTACCAGTCATTATGAAGGCGATTTATGGGTTGGCAATTACTGGGTAGGACCTGGTTAACAATTACAGCTCAGGGTCACCAGTTTCTTCCTGTGAAATATTCATTAGTTACAACTGAAAGTGCAGTTGAAAAGCTTTGGACTACTTTTTGGAGGTGTATATTAAATTGCAAAATCACACGGGCTCATTTAGGAAGTATAAATGGATTGTATCTGTTAGGCGCAGGAAGACTGGTCTGTTTCATGGAACAGACTGATCACTTCTCATTAACAGCAGGTCAGGGTCTAGGTTTTCCATTCATCGTTACTAGCTGCAATAAGAAAGGGTCAGGTGGCTTACGTGATCCCCATATTAACAGCACCATAAAAAATGTTTTGTGTTCAGAGTATATTTGGGGGCAGACTGTGGACTGCCTTGGTTATTATAGAAATTTCACAATTTACTTATTACAACTATAAAGGTTTATGCACGGCGTATTGGCCAGGAAGAGAAATAACTGAAGCAAGCCAAATACTAAGTGCAGATTACCTGTAAGAAGTTTATCAATAGCTAAGTGTAAAGAATATTCACATACTGCCAGAAGGAGAGACCTCTGGTTTCTCAAATTCCTATTGCCACCCCTCAAGAAAGAGAGAACAGGTCCTCCTTCCCCCGATCTCTGCTCCAACAGAGCCACAAACAGCCCTGAACAGCCACCTCGTCTGAGCAGAAGTGTGTTTGCACCAGGAACTTCTCTGAGAAAGTTCCAAGTCACTGACTTTTTGTTCCATTTTTTCCTGTCTAAAACTTCCATGTTCCGGGTAACTCTTTCCCGACTCAGTAGCTCAGCGTTCACGAGGAAATTACGTTGAAGCGACTCCATTCCTTCGTGAAGCACTACAGACAACCCTTTTCCACACTAGTCCCACAGGGAGATCTACAAGTGCCCAACAACACACTTACAATTTTTTCTTTTTACAAATGTTGATTTGTTTTGAAGTGGCTACAGTCCATTTGTGCAACATTGCCTTTGGAGCTACACAGGAAGGATTTCATTTGGTGAAAGTTGCTTTCAGAAGGTGTATAAATCGCCCAGCTCCTGGATCAATGTGGAGAAAATCCAGTGGCCAGACTGCAACCAACCACAGGCGTCATGTCCCATATCTACAAGAGAAACAAGATTCATAGAGAAAGGCACCAATGACCGTGTCATCAGATGGCAAAACACTGAAAAGCAAACAGCTGCTAAACTTGAAAAGATGTCAAAATTATTAATTCTCTCAGTCAGTTCTCTCTTCACTGTGACATCTCCCTAAGATCTATGTAGCAAAAAAGGCCACTGACCATAACAGCCTACAGTAAGTACAAGAAGAAGAAGGGTAAGAGTATTTTAACACCCGAAAATTACATCATCATATTTTACCATATATTATTTTTAAAAAAAAAATCCCTCTAGGAATATAAAGTATCTTCTACTTTTACAACCCAACAGTGCTACTAAGTATAAAATACTTTTAATTTGTGTGCTGGTTACCCAGGAATTTACTGAAAAAAAAAAAAAATATATATATATATATATGTTGTTGTTATGTGCCATGGAGTCAGACCTGACTCATAGCGACCCCTCCTTGGGTTTCCGAGGCAGTATCACTGCAGAAGTAGATTGCCCAACCTTCCTTGCGAGGAGTGGCTGGTGTATATATAGTTATTCCTTCCAATTAGGATGCTTTCTACCCAGGATGAAAAGGCACTTTAGGGAGGGAAAGAAGGATGGGGGGAGAAGGGCCTGCTGAGGCGCAGGCTGGCAGGTTGGGGAGAGAGCTTGCGCCTTGCTCAGTGCTGGCCGCGATCTAACGGGCGCCAGCAGCTCCCCAGCTCCAGCTGTGAGACCCATGTGGCAGAGGGAAACCTCTCCGGGATCAGCCACCAGGGGAGTGCAAACTCCCAAGCACGCAAGTTGTTACTTGGGGCTTTAAACTGGCAGTGGGTTGCTCATAAAAAGGGAAGGCATGCTTGCCAACCAGAAAGTGCCATTACAAGTGAAATGTATTCAGCCCATTCACAGAATGACAATGGTGCAGTCTACACTGAGAAGCGAAGATAAGTAAGCCAGGTTACCTTTACAATGCGATCAGTCCCACAGGTCACCATGAGTCCCCTAGCAACGTCCATGGACATGTGGGAAATGTTATGTTTTCCTTCATGAAAGGTTGCCAGAGAAGTCCGACTAACAAAGAGAAAAACAGATAGTTTAAAACTCACCTGACTGCCTGTTGCTGTGAGGTGCTGTCAAGTCGATCTCAACTCAGAATAACCCTGTAGGTCAGGGAAGAACTGCCCATAGGGATGCCCAGGTCATAATTTTCATGGAGCCAGACTACCAGGGCTTTCTCCCAAGGAGCCACTCGGCAGGTTTGAACACCAACCTTTTGCTTAGCAGCCGAACACTTAACTGTTGGGCCACCAGCGCTAAGGAATAACTTTGCAGTTATTTCAAAGACAAGTAACTTTGTATTTGAAATAAATAGTTATAATAATAGTATTAAAATTTTCTCCTAAAAACGTGGCTGCAGTTTTTTTTCTTTCTTATAAATTTTATTTTGTTGTTGAGAATGTATACAGCAAAACATACACCAATACAGGAGATTCCACATGTACCATTTAGTGACAGTGATTATATTCTTTGAGTTGTGCAACCACTCTCACCCTCATTTTCAGAGTCATTCCTTCCTCATTAACGTCAACTCACTGCTACCTGAGTTTCCCATCTAATCCTTGAGTTGCTGTTAACAATTTGATCCCAAATAGATAGCTCTTAAAAGAGCATAATGTGCAAGACTTTTTCATTGGTTAAGCTAAATTACTATTTGGTTTTAAGATGACTTAAAGTGATAGTTTTGGTTTAAGGTTTAAAGACGATCTCAGGACAACAGCTTCAGGGGTTCATCCAGTCTCCATGGCTTCAGACAGTCTATAGAGTCCATGAGGATTTGAAATTCTATTCTGTATTTCTCTCCTTTTGATCAGGATTCTCTTATGTCTTTGCTCAAAATTTTTAGCAATGGTAGTGGCTGAAGTTTTGAAAACTGAATCCAGAACTAAAGGATGGCAGAAAGCATGTCAAGTTGTAAGACTGCTCTATAAATGGCTACAAAACCCCTAAAACAATTGGCTGATACATTCCTAAACCTGAAAGAAAACAGGAACATTTAGCATAGAAAAGGAGCCTCGGTGCAGGAGACCACCAACATGGACAAAGCATCAATGGGCAGCCAGCAGGATCCTCCAAATCCACTCTGCCTTTCATGGACCAGTACTCGACCACAGTGCCAGTTCGAATGCTGCCCTGGAAGCTACATAGCCATAACTTCGATCACTAGTTCATTTACCAACGTGAGCTTCCCAACTTGGGCCTCTGTCAAGCCTTGCCAGTCTACTACTATAAAAGATGGTTCATCCATCCATCTACAGGCAGCTGATCTTCAATGAAGGCTCCAAGTCCATTCAATGGGGAAGAAATAGTCTGTTTAACAAATGGTGCTGACAAAACTGGGTTTCATATGCAGAAAACAAAACAGGAACTATACCTTGCACAAAAACTAACTTAAAATGGATCTGAGACCTAAATGTTAAATGTTCAAGCTAAAACTGTAAAGTGCCTGGAAGAGAACATAGGGTCAAAACTAGTGTACTTATGTTTCAGAATAAATAGCCTTCAAACAAAACTAAAAATGCATGGATGACAGAAGATACGATAGATAACTAAGACCTCCTAAGAGTTAATACTTACGCTCCTCAAAATATTTTACCAAAAGAGTAAAAACAGAATCTACAGACTGGGATAAAATCATATCTGATAAAGGTTTAACCTCTAAAATATACAGAAAACTTCAACAACTCAACAACAACAAAAAATTGGATTGTTTAATCCAATTACAAAATGGGCAAAGGACATGAACTTCAACAAAAAGGACATTCAAGCAGCCAACAAATACATGAAAAGATGCTCTCAGTAAGAAGCCATCAGAGATGCAAATCTAAACTACAATGAGATACCTTTTCACTGCTGCAAGAATGGCAATGATCAAAAAAAAAAAAAAAACCCAGAAACAAATGCTGACAAGGTAGTAGGGGACTGGAACTCTAATCGATTGTTGGTGGGATTGTAAAATGGTACAACTACTACGAAAAACAATATGGTGTTTCCTCAAAAAGCCAGAAATAGAAATACCTTCTGATTCAGCAATCTCACTCCCAGGTATATATCCTAGAGATATGAGAAGCACTGACACCACTATGCATATGCACATTTATATTCCTTGTGGCATTATTCACAATAGCAAAAAGATGGAAACAACCTAAGTGCCAACCAATGGATGAACGGATAAACAAACTGTGGTACATACATTTAACATGGATGAATCCAGACAACATTGTGCTGAGTGAAGTAAGTCAATAACAAAAACAAAAATACTGTATAGTCCCACTATTTAAAAAGTCAAAAGTTCTTTATGGTAACCAGGTACGGGAGGGAGAAAGAAGGGGAATCACTTATGAGACAGTAGCCACTTGTTAGTTTTGGTGATGGGGAAGGCAAGATCAAGTGAGTGAAGTCAACACGACACAAGCAAGCGAAGTAAAGATACTAAGAAGAGCACAAGAAAAGGGACCAGTACAATAAATGCTACAGAATATACAATATTGCAACAACAGTAAACACAACCAAAAAGCATGTGTGGTAACATGAGTAGATGTGAATGTGTACAGAAAGGCATACCCAAGTAAATGCATATGGCTATATGGGTGTATCCATGGGCATACGTATACATTTCTGTGTGCTGCGTATATATCCAAATACATACAACAAACCATAGGGGGGAACAGTTACAGAGGCTTCCCAGACAGATCCAAAGTGTTCACAGGATTGGTTTACTGGCTCAAGGGCCTTAGGACCATAGTCTTGGGGACAAGTGGGCATAGCTCACAAAGATAATGTTTTACATTCAAGTTTGGTGAATAGCATCTGGGGTTTTAAAAACTTATAAGCAGCTAAGATACAATTATTGTTCTTTACTCAGAGCAAAAGAGCATGATGGAAACCAAAGGATCAAATAAGAAACCAGTCTATGTTACTAGCAGCCTACACGAACGACAACCTCTTCAAAGTTGAGACTAGAAGAACTAGATGGTGCCCGGCTGCCAATAACTGCTGTTCTGACCAGGGACATGGAGAAGGTCCTGAATAGAATGGAGGAAAAATGGAGAACAAAACTCAAATTCCTTAAAAAGGCTAGACCTACTGGACCAAAAGAGAATAGTGGAACCCTGGGATATCACCGTATGAGAATCTTTGAACATGGAATTGAAGTTATCTCTGTGGGTCATTCTTTAGCCAAATAATAGATTGCTTACAAAATAAACAATATCACCTTTGAGTAATGTGTTCCCTCAAAAAAATAAACTATATGAGACCAAACAGACAACATTTACCCAAAAACAAAGGTGATAAGGCACAGAGGGGAAGGGAAGCTAGAAGAATGGAAACAGAACAAAGAATGGATATAATGACCATGTTGACACATTGGGAAAACTGTAACCAGTAACAGGGAACAATCTATATAAAAATTGTTAAAGGGAAACCTAATTTGCTGGGTAAACTTCCACCTAAAACACAGTAAAATATTTAAAAAAAAACAAACTCAAAGGGAAAGGAAACAAAATGGTGGTTCCTGTGTCAGGAAATAACGGAAACAGGGCATACAGACAGATTTCCTTATACACAAAAACAGTTACTTGAGAAGAGACTGCAAGCTCAGATTTCTATGGAAGAAAGAACATTGTTGTCTTAACTGTTCCCAGCAATTCATTTACATATGTACGAGCAAAGGCTGGAAAACTGGGGTATTTCTGCTAGACAGTCAACTAAGCCACTGCCATTAGTTTGCAAGTGTTCCTGTATAGTACCCCAGAGAGTACGGGGGGCGGGGAGAACATCCTCTAAATTGTGCAGTTCTTAGGAACGTAAGTCCTCACAGAGCTCAGGAGCAATTTGTCCCAGCAACGGGGCAGCTTGAGATAAACAGTAATATGCTCTTAAATTATAATATTATAGCAGAATCTTCTCTTTAGAAATTATTTATGCAATTTAGAGACACAAACATGTATGGAAATGTTATTTCTCAGTCTCTTTTCAGATGCACAGTAACGCAAAGATCTGTAACACTCACTCTTCATCTTTGATGGAGTCGTAACAGGAGTCGCACACCCGGACCTGGAACTCGAAGCCCATGATGGGGTAACTGGAGCGCTTGCTGCTGCACTTCCCACAGACGGCCTGCCCGCATTTCCTGCAGTGATGCTTCCAGGAGGACCCGAGGGAGGAAAACGAGGAGTTTAACCTTTGCTTTAATGCACACGGGTTCCCTTTAGAGTTGGGGAATGGGAATGGGGAAGATTTGCCTTGAATTATAATCACCCCAATTCAGAGTATCAATCAATTCTCAAAAGACAGACATCTGCGACACTTGGTACAGATTTCCAAACAACCGGCCTTATTGGTCAGCTGTTTTTTACTCATTCACATCATCTGCCTAGATGTCAGCGACCAGTTAGCAGCTGTCATGGAGCTGACTCTGACTCATGACGAGCCCACGTGTGTCAGAGTAGAGCTGTGCTCCACGGGGTTTTTAAGGGCTGAGTTTCTGGAAGCGGACCACCAGGCCGGGCTTCGGAGGCAGTCCTCGGTGGAAATAAGCCTCTGTCCTTGTGCTTAGCGGCCAAGCACAGTAACCGTTTATCCCACCCAAGGTCTTCAGACATCAGCAAACAACACTATTACAGTCAAATTCACTGAGGAGCCCAAACCAATGAAGATTTCAGGAAGAAAATCTATTCCTATGTCAGAGAAAAGTTTTGAAACAGTTTTAAGTGTAATTTTCTTCATTAATTAATACCCAAATTCATGTTTTGCTATTTCTTTTCATCTTTCAAATTGTGATTCTGGAAATAAGCTCCAAAATGGTCCAATTGTTGTTACTGGTTTTGACAATTCTTTTGCTACTAAAAGATTAGTGACCTGCACATCTCCACACTCTACTATTAGTTGTTAGCACACTGGAGTAGAACTGTTTTCTTCATGGTGTCTTTTAGGGACTACTTCACCCGTCAGTTACAATGCACTAATTACCACTAGACATGCACCGCGAGAACTTGATGATCAGTCAGATGCTATTTTAGAGCAGTAGAATGTTATGAGTGCTAGAATGATTCCAGCGTTGCCTGCCAGACTCACATTAAACCTTACCATAGAACAGCCTTGGTAAGTAACATCTAAGAAATTTTATTAACTCACAGACTAACGCTAATCACTCAGGAAATCAGCACTCTTTTTACTCACCAGCACAATTTATACTCACCTTTAGTGAGTGGCTACCTTCAAGGCTGCTGTAGAAATATTGTTTGTAGAACTTTAGTATTACAGGGGATACCCAGTGCTCAGAGCATCTTTGAAATTTATGGGCTTTTTGGGGTATGAGTCTTTAATTTAAAAGATGAAGCACAGTATTCAAAGCATACTTAACAAAAATGTTCCAGGTGTACTTGCAACGGGAAAATTTAACATGATCTCAAGTTCTTAACCTGTGGCCGTTGAGTCGACTCTGCTCACAGCGACCCCATGGTCAAAGTAGGCCTGTGCCCCACAAGGCTATCAATGACTAATGTTTTGGAAGTAGATTGCCAGGCCTTTTTTCTAAGGTAGCTTCGGGTGGACACAAATACCTAACCTCTCAGCAGCTCACTGTGTTAACTGTTTCTACCACCTAGGGTCAAATCTTAGGGTCAGATTGTTCCACTGAGGGTTAAATTGTTACTTACGTGATGTTCTGTTTCTGTCCACATAAAACATATACAGATAATCCCCACTATTCAAAAATCCGCTTTACACAACTTCACTATTACTAAAGACCTATAATAGTATCTCTTTTTGCTAACTGAAAGAAATCTGAAGAGGATTTTCACTTTTACAAAAAAAAAAAAAAAAGGAAAAAGTAAAGCTAGCATTCAGGTTTGTTTTGCAGTGAGCCATTCAAGAGGCAGCACATACCCCAAGCAGAGAGAGCAGTGCCCCTAGCTCCTTCCCTGGGAACTGCACTCAGCATCAAGCTGCTGTAGCTTTGAACTGTATCTATGAACACTCTATGTTAGTGTTATCTTGGTGTTATGTGTTATTTGGTACAATTTGGCAGGTTAGTTTTTGGATTTGGGAATGCTCAAAAAATTTTTCTCATATAAATCAATGGTAATTGCATCTTCACTTTATCCGTATTGCCTTAAAAAAGGTTTCATAGGAACGCTCTACTTTCAGATAGCAGGGAAACCTTTAATTGTGTGCCCTAATTTACTCTAATTCTGTGATTGTCTAGCATGCAATACTGACTTTAACAATTAACAGTCCTAAACTTTAAGATCTTCTCTCAATTTACAAATAGGCTCTTCAGGACCTTCTGGGAACCCCTGCTTTTCCAGTGCAGGAGAAGTCATCGTCTCACTGGCCTAGGAAAGGGCTTGCTCATTGTTAGCCTCGTGATGGGAGCAATACCAAAAGGCAAGAACTGACAGGAACAAAGTGTGATTCCAAAAAAGGAACAGTTAATTACACCAATAACAGAATAGACAGCGAACAGTGACAGCTCTCCGGTGGCTACTTACCTGTCTTAACCCCAGAGTTTTTGTGTCCCACATCTGCTTTATATTCCAGAAAAAGGGCTGCTCACATTTCTGACAAGAATCACTTTCCAGCCACTGAGGAGCCTGTGGGGGTAAGAAGTCAAAGACAATGACAACGCACCCCTATCTTTACATAGAATTTAGTACAACCACTTTTGACCTTGTTGCAGATAGCATTTCTTTTTAATTCATTAATATTTTACAGCTGGTTGCTATAATCAATATTATGTTGCAGTGTGTTCTGAGTCATCTACGTAATTTTAGCATTGCTTACAGGGCTGTTCAGTGCCTTATCTGTAGGTAACAGGGAATACTGCCATTTTCTCTGTGACCTCTGAAGACTTCTCTTTCCATACTTCTTTTGCTCGCCAGTTGTTTGAAATGCACATCTACTTGGCTAAAATCCCATTTCTTGGAGAATCTGGTGAATTGCCACTTGGAAAGGCTTTTGGGTCACCTGGTGACCAACAGGACAGGTCCCGAAAAGGAAAGGTTTCCTAGCTCTCCTAGGTGAGCATCATATTAGACTTCCCAGCCCTCCTTTCCCAGAGCTCAGCGTGTCCCCGCACAGCCGCCCGCGGACCCCTGCCCTCCCAGAGCTCAGCGTGTCCCTGCACAGCTGCCCGCAGATCCCCACTAGTTGTGGACTCACGGTGCTGTCATTCTCTGTGTCTATTTCTCCCCATGCCCCTCCCCACTAACCAATGAGTGCTCCAAAGCAGAGGTCCGCTAGTGCCTAAGGCACTACTGCTAAACAGAAGCCTGGCGGTTCAAACCCACCAGCCACTCCTCGGAAGGAAGATGGGGCAATCTACTTTCGTAGTGATACTGCCTCGGAAACCGAAGGAGGGGTCGCTATGAGTCGGATCTGACTCAATGGCACTTAACAACAACAGTCTGTAACACAGTAGGTTTCCCATTTGTTGAAACAGCTGAACTGAAGTCCCAAGATAACTTTATTTAGAACTTAGGAAATATTTCTCCAAATAAGAAATTCCAAATTGTACTTAATTACCAGATAGACCTATTAAAGCCTATTGAACCACAAATAATATCAGTTAGGTGTTAAAAGGGACAATAAAAATAGAAGATACTGTTTTCTATAAATTAAACCAAAGATCAAGAATAAGATATCATTCTTTTTGTACATCTGATAAGAGGAGGCCAAGATGGGGGAATCACAGCATTTCTGAATTACACTGATCTCAGAAAACACATGGTGAAGATGAAGATCTTTTCAGAGACTCAAAGGGAATTTCTGGTGGTTTAAAGGAGCTCCTAGGTGTTTACTGTGTTTCGTAATGTATCAAAGCTTCTACTTCTGCTATTTCTTAGTTCAGATAAGTCACTGGAAATTTTTTTGTAGATGACAGTCATTAGTCAGGATGGTTTTATGGGGCAGTGGTGGAGAAGACACTAACAAATAAAATGAAGCTGACTGAGAAGACAGAGAGGTTTCTTTAAACTAACTAGGGAAATGTTGGAAGTGAGAAGGGAGGGAATGAAGAATGATAAAGAGATGTGTACACATGTGAGGAAGATTATTACCTTCAAGGCAAGAAACATTAGAAGCAGAAAGAGACAAGAAAGGACCTTTCCCAACAACCTTCAGAGAGAATGTGGCCCCCACAAATTTGGACGTACCAGTTACTGGCTACGTTCAAGCTGATTCCTACTCACGGCAACCCCATGTGTCAGAGTGGAGCTGGGCACCATGGGGTTTTCAACGGCTTACTGCGTGTCACCAGACCTTTCCTTCGAAGAGCCTCTGGCTGGACTCAAACCTCTAGACCTTCAGTTAGCAGCCATTTTCACTGTTCAGGAACTCCAAATTTTGACTACGAGCCTCCCAAGCTGTGAGAGTCAGTGTCTGTTCCTGTAAACCCTCCACTCTATGGCAGCCCTAGGAAACTAACACATGGCGTATGCTAGAGATGCACGGTTACTCAGTGAGAGTCAGATCTACCAATGGTCTAAGACCACATAAAGCAGACACGTGTGCAGGGACTGATGGGAACGCGACATGCGTGCTGCACTCTACACTGTTGTAAGGACAGCATACTGAGAAAATTATGACATGTCACTAAACATATGGTCCATGACAATGCACTATTAATAACCACGCATCATTCATGTTCACCGAAGTTTCCAGACTTTATGGCCACCTTGTAGGCAGGTGCTCTATAAATATTTCTGCAGTTAAACTACAAGTCATTAGCATCCCACTAGAGAATATACACGGCAAAGTGTATACAGATTCAACAGTTTCTCCATGTACAGTTCAGTGACACTGATTACACTGAGGTGTGCAACCATTCTCACCCTCCTTTTCTGAGTTGTTCCTCCCTCATTAACACAAACTTGCTACCCCCTTTCGAGTTGCTGTCATCAGTCTGATCCCACATAGCTAGACCTTGAAAGAGCACACTATTCAAGGTAGACATTCTTTACTGGGTAAGCTGTTGTTTGGTTTTAAGAAGATTTCAGGGGATATTTCTGCTCTAAGTGGCATCTTATCTTTGCAATCTACATCACAGATTGTAGATGCCATTAGAAAAGACAGATAATAGGAGTTCTGCCAAAGATGGGGATGTTCTGCCTGGTGATCAGGAAACAGCTATAAAAAGCTTTAAGAATGTTAAGTATTCTTGGACCCAGAGCCTATTTTTAGAAATGTGTCTGAAATAAATAATAAAACAATTGTACAACAAGGTTAAGAGTATTCACCACAGAATTATTTTACATAGAAAAAAAAAAAGAGAGAGAGAGAAAGCTATTGTTTAGAAAACTGTAGTGCCTTTTCACAAAGAATTAGAATCAACCTTAGAAATCATCTTATTCAACTATGTTACTTTATGGAAGAAGAAATGGAAGACAGAGAAATTAGGCACTTATCCAACCAATGTCTCAGAACTAGTTAGTGGCACAACCAAGGTTAGGATGCAGGTCTAAAAAGAATATTATATGAGTATCAGTCAGGTGGCTTTTTAATTTACTGCTGCAGACATGGACTCAGTGGAGCAAAATCAACGGAAACCAGAAGCAGAAAGACAGAGATGCTCTGTGGAATCACAGGTAGTTTGTGGAGGGCCCATGTGCGGGAACCCATCCTCAAATATGTTTCAGTGTATTTCTCAAAGCCGAAAATCCAAGTAAACATTCAGTCTGACTGTGCACATTACTTATCATGGGTGGAGATTCTCACAAGAGGAGAGGATGCAATGCAAAATGGTACTTGGGATCTTGCCAGACAATAACCCACAAGCCCAACAGTGAGAGGCTG